CTAGTAAAGAAAAAAGATCTTAATTTGGAAATCACGAAGGTTAAAGCCCATGGAACTGATAAGTTCAACAATCAAGCTGACCTACTGGCCAAACAAACTAGACATGAGAACCCAATAACCTGGCATCAACTATCAGAATTAGGGAAAGTCCTAACAATTGCTACATGGAGTGAATACACAATTGAAATCAGTATTAGGGAATTCATCAAGACATTCAATAGGAAAAAGATTGAAAAAGATTGGACAGAACAGAAGAGGATCCAGGATCTGTGGATCCAGAGTGACAAAATTATAGACTGGTTGATCTTCTAGAACCAATTTAACCCATTCAATACCTTCGACACTTCTTTCAAGGTGAATAAAGATAAAAGTTTCCTGACTAATCTAACCCACAACGAACTTCCAGTATGGCAGATACTCAAGAAAAGAAAACCAGACATTTATATCATATTGATTTGTCCAGTATGTGAACTCCACGAAGAAACACTAGAACATTTGTTCAAATGTCCAGCCACTAAAGAAGCAAGAGAGAACATCTGAAGGAAAGCAAAAGAAAAGATCAATTGTGATATTAGTAAAGAAGTCAAAGACAAGAAGGAAGTCCACACCGCAACTGATAACTGGACAAGTAAATGGTTAGATGAAATCCAGCAATCTGACAGAAGTCTCTTTAATACCATCTGTGGATATATGGAAGAGAATGAAACCACATTCTTGAAGAACTACCTCAAAAAGCAATTCAAACTTTTCCCAGCATCTACACAGAGCATAATTGGCAAGTTGTGTCACAAGATAAGGACAAATTTTAAGGATATTTGGAACAGCCATTGCGCCAAGGTAATAGAGTGGGAAAAGAAACAGAATATTACCGAAGAGGACAAAAGAACCAGAAGACCCGGACACAGATCTAGAATACTGGTTTTACAAGAACAGGAAGAACCTACATCCTCAGAAGACCAGGAGCAAGAGGCTATCAAAAGAAAGGAGGAAAAGACATATACAAAGATCATTAAGGATTGGGTTTGTCATGGAATCAAATGGTTTGGTTTTTAACTGCAGGCAGAATTTAGAATGATCTACAATAATGACCTGTAGGCAATAATTTAATTGACTAGAGGATTTATCTAAGTCAGTCAAGGAGCGAAATATCATTTCCTAAGTTGCATCTAGAGAAATAGTTTTTTAACGACGGGTGAGTTAGTATGTGAAAGTCAAAATATTCTGTAAATATCTTTGTATATATATAATAAAGACACATCATGTTAACTGCGGGTTAAAAAAAAAAAAAAAAGATATCAGGAATTATATAACAAGACTAAAAAGTCATATAAGAATCTAAAATTCATCATTATTTGTTTTCTTCTATACTAAAAGAAAGAAAGCATTAAGTAGGATACAGGATCTGATAGATAATAAGTACTTTAAATGATCACAAGAAAATAATCAAGATTATAAATGAATAAATCCCTCAAATAGTTAGGAAAAAAAAATATTCTAGAAGGGTTGATTTCTAATAAGAGGAGATTTCTTGTAGAAATCCATTGGAGAATATAAAGCACTTTTATTTCTTTTCATTTTCATGTAACACAATTGTATATTTTTAGATATTTTCCTTTTCTTTTTTTTTCCTTTTCCCTTTTTTAATTTCTCAAAATCTGTTACTTGAAGAATAATAAACAATGACAACCTGCTAACAATGATGGATAAATTAGAAAGATATTTATCCAAAATCTATTAGAGAGTGAAATATTGTCTCCAAGATCACATTTAGAGGTTGAAACTCTTTTGAAAATTGAAAGTCGTTGATGAGTAAGTCAATACAAGATTTAATTTAGCCATGATGCAATTGCCCTATGTACAGTATCTCTACTGGTTTTCATAATGATTAATAAACACACTGTGCTGACCTGATCATGAATAGTTAAAAAAAAAAAAATAATCAAATAATTTTCTTATAATAAAATAATTAATAAAAACATATTAACGAACTAACTTAATTATGACTTGCTACGGAAAAGTCCGAAGCACCTGGCTTCTACATACATGCGGAATTTTTCGCCACAGAAAAAATTTTTTTTTTGCCACGCCACAGCAGTCAAATGAAAATTAAATAATACAAATTTGGAAAGTATGTAGGTTTAAAGTAGTCAGTCAAATTATATAGACTAATGTAAAAAAATAATGCAGTTTAGTAACCTGCGAAATCAGATAACAATTTTTAATTGTCATATCAATTACTGTATCAAACAATAAAGTTATATACAAAAATGAGAAATAAAATTATAAATATGGATAAAACCTTCATAAATTGGTTTGTTAATGAAAAATGGGTGTAAAGGTGTAATGTTCAAAGGAATCTCATTCGTTCAAGCATTGTCATTGTTACCGGGCTTATTCAAATAGTCCCTAAATCCATATGGATTGTCATCATCAAAATTATCGTCACGCGTAATCTTACGATCTGAGGCGTTAGGTGGGTATCTGTCATTTGGCTCGTAGGGTGGAGGAGGAACGTTCAATGAATTGACCAGTACATTATCAATATTGGCATTATTTATTGGACTTGTTCGTGGTCCTGGTGATATCGGTGATGGTAATGTTGGAATGGGTGGTGATGAGCTGTTGGGTGATGATGGTTTGTTAGGTTTGTTAGGTGGTGGTGGTGGTGGTGGTTTGTTAGGCGGTGGTGGTGGTGGATGTGAATCATTGTATTCTTGTGGATTTACACTAACAGTCGTAGGTTGAAACACGACGGTTGATGGCTGTTGGAATGATTGCCCGTTCGTTGGTCGTGGTGGAAGCGACCCATTTGTTGATTGTTGTGTGAATTGTCCATTTGTTGGCTGCTGTTGTTGAAGTTGCCCATTCATTGTTATAGGTTGGTTTTGCCCGTTTGTCGGTTGATATTGATTAATTGGCTGATATTGATTGGGCCTGACTACTTGTGATATTGTAGGACTCTGAGGGATATTGCTCGCAGGTGTCGGAGGCGTCGAAAGAGCTGGTGTCAAGGGCATCCCTAATTAGCAGATAATAGTAAGTAAGAGAAGTATAATTTAATGTTCCAAGGTTATCAATTCTTTTACCGAACAAATTAATTCTAACCTTCGAACGCTTCTTTACATGTCTTCCCACAAAAAGATAGATATATTTGTGTTGACGGATCTTTCCAGCATGGTTTAGTCTGACAGAAACGACATAACGGAACTGAAACGGGTACCCAGGTACCACCTACTCCCCGAAAAGGCCGAATGGAAGGTGGATTATTCGTCAAAGGCATAGATGGTGGTCCAATTCCTAATGTCCCAACTGATAACACTGGCGGAGAGTTTAACGTTCCAGCTCTGGATTGGCATTGCCGACCACAGTAAGGTGATCGAGTTCCACCTGGCAATCGAACTTGAGGATATATTTGACACACGATGCAGCCTTTTACATGACCTTTATCCACGGATTTTTATTTGACGCAAGAATGAAGAAATAAGAAGTGTTAAGTGATATATTGTCTAATTGTTTTTAAAAGAGCGTGGTTATGTAGTTTTTTTTTACCATGTTCCACAGCTGCCTTTCGACACTGGTTGGAACAGAATTCGGCAGGTTGACCCGACTTTTCAATATAGACACCTTTACTTTTGCATTCAGCACAAAAGACCATGTTCGTTTAGCTGTGTGCATTCCACTGCCGCAGAATATATAAATACATGCCGCAACGCCGATTGGATAAGCTTTTTTCGTCACATGAACATCACAAAGAAGCTAAAAATGGTCGAGTTTACACATGTCGAACATAAATAGAAGACATGATATTTTGTATTTTGCCGAGAGAACCAAAAATTTTTTCCGTGTTACTTCGCTTTCCTCCTGAGCAACCTATTCAATAATGTCGATATACAGGAGAAGTACTGGAAAATTATCCAGCATTTGGGATCTCAGTGAATCCGAAGACGAAAACGAATCAAAAACCGGGGAAACTTTCGATGGCATTCGGAATACTATTCCAAAAGAGGAGTATGAAAAAATTAAAGCCAAAACAAGGCAAGGTTGCCTATGTGAAGAATGCGAACGAGGTTTGTGATATGAAATATCGGTTCTCCGAATTTCTTGAGGCCCGTGGTATTTATTGAACATGAACATGTTTAAATCTCGCTCGGACGTTAGCTATTAATCCTGCAATCCGTCCCGATTTTTCTGCCCTTCTGAAAATATTCACTTCCGAGATACTTCTTCGTCATGCCGCCATTTTTGCAGGGACACGCAAAATTAACGAAAAAATCGTGGATCACTTTCATACTACATGGAAGCATCCAATGCATATGGGTATACCTAGTGTTGAATTTGTATCTTTTATGATGAGCGATAAAAAAGTATGCCAAAGATTTGACGATTACATGGCAGAATTACTGTTGATTCTCGACGACCCGAATGTGAAGCCGTTATGGCACGGGACGACAGTAAAATGTAAATTCGTTGATAAGCCCTGTGATCCTGGTTCGGCCGAAAGTTGTGCCGGATGTAATATACTAAGTAAAGGGTTTGATATAAGTAAAAGTGGATCTGCAAATCCTTTCAAAAGGTATCGTTTAATTGCTGGTCTTACTTTGTTGTTGTTTCAATATTAAATTTAACTCAATTTTAGATTTGGTTCTGGCATTTATTTTGCTCCAAATTCATCCAAGGCACACAGTTATGCTACTCCCAGGGGAGGTGCTGAAGATTTATTTACAATTCTATTCTGTTTTGTTGCTTTGGGAAGGTTTGTGTTGTATATATTTTGCGTCATTCCATTCAACTCTTGATCTCATTATTTTTCAAATTAAAGGTCTCACACGACGGTTGATGACATGCCATATTTAGTCGAACCTCCATATCCCTCTCACTCTGTGCACGGACGCATAGGACATCGATTAAACTATGAAGAATATGTTGTCTACAGACCTGATGCAGTGGTACCGTTTGCTGCTATAACTTATCGGATGACTAAGTGGTAAAAACTTTCTTAGAAATGTAATTATATATAATATTTGTATGTATATCTGTTATTTTAATAGAATGTATCGAATTTTCAATAGCACTGATTTTCCTTCTACTTGTAAAAATGAGATATATATTTTAGTTATTCTCTGGTAATATAATTGCATTTTTAATATACGTTTACATTTTCTTTTGTCATCGTACCGAAAATAATTTATACTTGAACAAGGCTCAGACAATTTCGTAGGGTCATGGCTGGGAAGCTTGACGAGTAGCCGTTTTAATATTGAAACCCTCGTTGATCCAATGCCAAAACAATTCAAAAGATTTGCCTACTAGCACTTAGGAATAATACCCTGAGTAATAATAGGTCGGGTTAAATCCGCAACACCTTTTTTAATGCATGTCTATGCCACGTGATGTTTGATACGAAACAAGGAAGCACAAGATAGTCACACTAATGCATTAATTGAATACTCTACATTTTAGGATCAAAATAGGTCCTATTATGTTCTAGTTTGTACTTTTATACCATATTTAATTAGTAATGGGTTATTGATCCATGGTTTATCGAAAAATAATAATTCAGAGAAAACAAGATCAATTCATTTAATGGATTAAACTCGGGCTTTACGCATCTCAACTTCCGATTTAACGATATAAGGGTGCTTTTTTACCGCGCCAAAATCGATGCTACTTTCTATTGTATAACATGGTCACGTGAAATAATCGTGTTGTTTGAACACTACGTAGTCGCGTATTTTTTGGTAGCATCACGTGTAAACCAGACCAATATGTAGGTGCAGGAAACGATCAATACTGAACAAGCTTATCAAAGATCATACATACATACAGTATCAACGAAAGATGGGCAAAAAAAGCAAAAAATCTAATAAATCAAATACTACCGCAAATAATAACGGTAATAATAATAGCAATATATCCACATCAACTACTTCAACGACGACGACACCTTTGGCACAAAATACCACGGCACATCAACCACAAAGACAGACGCCTCAAACCGCTCCGTCGACAACCGATCAGCACCACCATCGTTCCCATTCACATCCGCACCATACTCACACAAGAAGCGGCGATCAACACCAAGATTCACAACAACAAAATAATGATGATGATCAAGTTGAGCAGGAGGAACAACAAAAAGGTTTCAAGGGTCAGGCGAAAAAGGATATGAGGAATGTTGAAGGATATGTAGCCGACAGAGAGGGATATGTAATTGACGAGACTAAATTGGGAGAGGTAGTTGGTTATTCGATTCAATTTGAATTAAAAAGTTTGAAATTGAATTTGAACTTGTATTATTAAAATTTTTTAGGCTATGAAAGTTGTGCGCGAAGAGAACCTGAGGCAGAAAACTCAAAAAGTTAAAAAGTATATTTTCTCTCGAAAATGGCACCGATCTTACTAAATTTGTTCATAGTGGGATAAAAATACTCAATAATTCTGCATCTTTATACTAAAGACAAAAAGAAACCGAAAAAATTGCAGTGTCAAAGGAAGACATCGAGCTTATTGTATGATAACTATACCATTTTTCTGATATTATATGTGAGCATTTCTAATTCTACCAATACTAACCTTATTCTTTTGTTCAGATAAAAGAAATGGAAGTAACCAAGTCCGTGGCCGACAAATGTTTAAGAGAGCATAAAGGAAATTTAGCGGAGGCTTTGAAATCAATGGTCAATACATATTAATGGGTTAATTTAATTTAATTCAGAAATATTTATAATTGAGAATTTATCCAATAAAGGGTTGTTGCTGAAAAATGACTGAGATTCATGTGATTGATTAATTTGTATAATAAAAAATATTAATATGTAAAATATAAAGATATAAGTTACCTTACATATATTATAAGCAATAAGCTAGGCAATATACAGTAAATAATCAACTTTTATGTAATTATAAATTTTAAAGTCTTATTTAAATCATGGTTATTAGATACAAAGCATTTATTTAAATTATATATATCAAGCAAATTTTGATTTTGATTTAACAAATTGAATTAATATAATAATTCAATTAAATAAATTAAAAATTTTGATCTATAAATTTTTAATTCATATTTAAATCATGTTATTAGATACAAAGCATTTATTTAAATTATATATATCAAACAAATTTTGATTTTGATTTAACAAATTGAATTAATATAATAATTCAATTAAATGAATTGATCTATAAATTTTTAATTCATATTAAAATAATTTAAGAATTAAAAGTTTTAATTATTAATTTAGATTAAACTAAATCTATTTAAATAAATTAAATCTATTCTATATTAAATTAGTTTTAAGCTAATTTTAATTTAAGCATTTTTACTATTTAATTAATTTTTGATTCTTTTATTTTCTTTAAAATTATTTTAATTTTTTTTTTTCTATTTTTTTTTTTTTATCAAAAGATATTTTTTACCATTTTAAAATCAAAACTTATACAAATATTTTTAATTCTTATTAAAATATTAATATATATATATATATATATATATATTTTTTTTTTTTTAACCCACAATCATGTCACAATGGTATGTCTTTATTGAAAAATTGAAATAAATTTACAATATTTT